TGTGTTGAGTCGTGTTTCTGAGAATGATATTCACCTCTACTGCATTGCTTACTTCAACTCTTACCATTTTGACGCACGCAATACCCAAGACCACTGGCGGGATACCATCCAGATTTTACGCACAATACAGCACTTTGTCCACCACTCTTGTAACCTTCGTCACAAACAAGAGTTGCAGTGGTTCCAATAGGGTAAATCAAAGATTTGCTGGTTGAATAAGTCACCTAAAAAATGGGGTGCCATCAACGATCGAAGACCTAGCATAGTTCCACCGGTTTTGCTCGCACCTGGCCGTTTGCTATAGTGTTCAGACGAAGACAGCCTTTGTAGTCTGATGAGATAGTATGAACCACTGATCCAGTATCGCTCCATCCATAGCAGAGGATTTTCCCTTTTCGAAAATACTCCGGAAAAATAGCTGCTGGATCCAAGGAGTACGCAAAAGCTTAAAGAACTGTAAAGGTAAAGAAGACGAGAAGACAGGATCTTAATAAGGCAGAGAATCAAAGGAGTTTGCTATCAAATGGATATTTGAAAGATGAGGTTTGCATTATTACTTTTTTCACTTGTAAGTATCGCTTAATTCGAGCGCCTCTCTAGAACAGCTTTAGATGTTATTTTCCCAATCTTATGGGTGCCCGCTGATCCTCAAAAGATCCTAGATTAGACCCATGTGTTGTTTCATTACTATTTTCTTTATTTCTTTATTGCTATTGCTATCATGATTAATCATGAAGTTGCTCTACCCGTCAAAGTTTTACAAGCAAGTAGTCTAGGCAAAGTTAAACTCGCATAGGAAGTTTAGAGTATTTTTGGGAGCTTGATATTCTAACTGCATGTGGTTACTAAACCCAGAATAAAAAACCTAATCTTTGATTTGAATTTGAAAAAAAAATTCTTGCATTACAGATAAAAACAACGTACCCTCGTAGCAAGACAATAATGGGACTTCGGCAAATAAGTGAGCAATTCAAACAACAACAGAATGAAAACGGTGTTTGAAGTGCATTATGTGCTTCAAAAAATTTTGAAGGAGTAGCAAAGAACAAGAAATTTCGAAAATTGGAGCCTGCCTTGTTATGTTCCAGATAATTCAAATGAATAGAGGGTGGAACAAAAAGGAGTAAACGTTTGGTTTACAATTTGGACGCAAATATAATCTTATGCAAAAGTTGAGGTTTTGATGTGCATAACACATGTGCGAAAAAAAA